GAGAGAGAAGAAATGAGGCCACCAGGTTATCGGGGTGGAGCCACAGCATCTCATAGCGCCTCCTGTGCTAGCAGCAGTAGCAAGTGTCTGCGACTCCAAGCCATCCAGAGTGAGAGGCAGACGAGCCAAAGGGTGAAGGGGAAGGGGGTGCCCAGGATGGGCTGCATGTGGGACCCCATGTGATGACTCCTTCCACAGCAGGAGTGAGGAATTTCCTCAGGGAGGAGATGTGGTCGCACGGTGTCCCCTCCGTATATCTTCTCTAACGCATTCATAAATTCATTTTTGCATTCAACAGAGACTCAGGGAGCACCTGCAATGAGCCTGGGACCCTCAGTGGTTTTTACTAGATTGATCCATCATTTTCTTTTTTTTTTTAAATTTTATTTATGATAGTCACAGAGAGAGAGAGAGAGAGAGAGAGAGAGAGAGAGAGAGAGAGAGAAGCAGAGATACAGGCAGAGGGAGAAGCAGGCTCCATGTACCGGGAACCCGATGTGGGATTCGATCCCGGGCCTCCAGGATCACGCCTTGGGCCAAAGGCAGGCGCCAAACCGCTGCGCCACCCAGGGATACCTGATCCATCATTTTCAATAAATGCTTTGCTATCTTCACAAATCCCGATTTTAAGACCCTGCTACACAATCTGTCACATAAACACAAGAATGGTGACCACAAGTCAAGGGGATGACTTTCAAAGGGAGAAAACCTCTATCCTCCTTATGGGGTTTCATTTCTATTTCCTTTTTCGTTTTCTCCCCCACTCCGTCTCACCTTTTTAATCTTTTTGAGTGTTCTTTGTGCTCTCACCACATCTGCTGAAGGCCTTAGAGCACAAATTGCACTTCTAGCAATATTAAACAAGTGGCATTTCCTTTTGAGTCAAGAGTTCAAAATCATATCTCCTTTCCTTGAAGTGTATGGTTTCCCCAAGTCTACAGAAAGCATCTCTACAACATATTGTGGACCAAACATTTTTCATAAATACATAAGTCACAAAATTAATCATCCTTATTATCTGGCAAAAATTGGGAAGAGGAAAAGTCTTTACTTACACCTGCAAGAAGTGATGTGATGCAACCGCTAAGAAGCCATCAGGAGTAGGGATTTTACAGAGAAACTGCCTAAATCCTTAGCTAACTTGTACCTGACCTGCTAAAGCCAATTATTTTTTTTTTTTGTCAATCTTTAGACTCCAGAGAGCTGGGATACCACAGAGAAACCATAAAAACTTATACTTTCAGAGCACCATTCTGGGAGTAGCATGGAGAGATATTGCCCTTCTTTTCCAACCATTAAAGTGAACGCAGGATGTCAGTATCGATACGTTTGTCTTTTAGAGAGTATCTTGCTTCTAGAGTTATAGAATGGATGACAGAAATGAATCCAATAAAACTGAACAAGTACAGTTTTGTGGGTGACAGGCAATCGAAGTTATAGGTATGTCTTAATGTAGAATAGATTTGTTTTCACACCATGAATATTTTTTTCAGTTCTAGTACATGTGCTGTTTATTAATGAATCCCAATCTATCAAGCTTTAGATATACAGAGTTTTTCCCCCTTTACCTTATGAATGAAAGCTTGCTGAATGCAATTCATATTGATCTCAGCTTCAGAGTTAGAATGTAGAAAATATGATGAAAAATTCTAAGGATACATTTCTATTCTTCAATGTTACCTGCAGTTTACTTGATAATGTAACACCCACCATCACCCAATGTTTCCTTTGACTTGGGAAAAATCACACTATATTCTCCTCTTTGTGAAGAAGTGATGCCCCTTCATGGCATCTAAGGAAGTGGGATGCAAAACAGCTACACTTCAAAATGTGGTTCATTGAAAAAAAATGTAGGTGTGTATGAAGAAGGGGTGCTAAGGTTCCTATTTTCTTTCTTTCTTTCTTTCTTTCTTTCTTTCTTTCTTTCTTTCTTTCTTTCTTTCTTTCTTCTTTCTCTTTCTTTTCTTTCTATTTTTATTTCCTGTTTTGGTAGTTTTATCCTGCCCGGATTCCTGTGTAGACTACACACCAGTAAAAACAAAACAAAACAAAACAAAAAACAAAAAAACAAACTATAGTCAAAAGACTCTTATCCTCTGCTACCTTGACTGCCTCAACACAACAAAAGGAGAGGAAAATATATCAGCTTTGTCAAAGCATCACTAACAAGTTTACATCTGTCTCTTATCTATTATATATTATCTACTTACCTGTAATCTAGCTATCCATCTGGATGGTTATATCTCTCTATATATGATACAAGCATAAAATGAGGGGTATGTGAAATGGTAAAACATATTGCTCTAGGAAGCATATGATACAAAAATAAAGCCACAGTGTAGTAAAATGTAATTTAGATAAAAAACCTTCCATATTTATTGGACTTGCAGTACTTACTTTAGTTGACCCATATTTCTTTGTTACACAGAAACAACAAATAACCAAGGAAGAATGTGTTTTTGAGACTAGACAGGCAAACTGTTCATCATAATTGGTAAAGCATTTGAACCCTCACCTTTACTGGAAATTATTATCGGTGCGATAGATTCTAGAGTGTTCTAATCAGTTGATTCTATTGAATTGTAAGTCAACTCTGCCCTCCTGCAAGTCTTCATTAATATTTTGAGGAATTTAAATGTGCCCTGGCATTATTCTGTTGGATGCGTACAAAATTATTTCTGATGCTATATACCAGCCTAATTGTCCACTGTCCCTTCAGAGAAAAGTTCCCCACACACTACCATGATAACAACAATCCTTCATTTCCTGGAATTATAACCAAGCTCCTGTCAAAACCCAAAGTTACTACTACATTTGTTCCAATCTTTTCCAACTTATTTGTATTATCATTTCACTTTCTTTATATATATATATATATATATATTTTATTCAAGTTCAGTTTGCCAACATATGGTATAACACCCAGTGCTCATCCCGTCAAGTGCCCTGCCCTCCTCAGTGTCCATCACCCAGTCACCCCATCCCCCCGCCTGCCTCCCTTTTCGCTACCCTTTGTTCATTTCCCAGTCAGGGGTCTCTCATGTTTTGTCACCCTCTCTATTTTTTTCCACTTTCTTTTTGCTTAGAAATTTGCTCATTTGTGTTTTCTCATGAAAATGTTCTATGGTTTTATTTTTACTTTATTAAACATCAATATCGTTAAAAACAAGACAATAGGCTCAATATGGAGTCACTTAGACTAAGCCTCATAACGCCTACCTGAGACTTAGGACAGTTTCAGCTCTTCTAGAAATAGTATCTTAAAAGCCAGTGGGGGAACTAACTGGTCAGTACTAGTGAGGTATTCTGACATTGACATCCCCTCAAGGAAAGTGACCTTGCTACACCCAATCCATTCTTGACCAGTAGAACTTCCTTATCCCTGCTCCCTTTGCCTATAAAAGTCTTTCATTATATATAGCTCCTCAGACTTCCTTTCTCTCTGCAGGCTGGCATGCTGTCCATTCATGAATCATTGAATAAAGCCAACGTGGTATGTATAATTTACTCAGTTTAATTTTGGTTTTTAACAATAATTTCATATATAGGTTTATGTTGAAATAAAAATAGCCTTACATTAAAAGCATATTTTCTAATGAAATCTAATCACAGGAACAAGCAAGATTAATTTCCTAAGATCATGACTCAGGCAGTTTCAGTGTGTGGTTGCTGACATTCATGGTGGGAAGGAAAAGAGGAAAATATGGGTTTCTTCTTTCTGGTCCACAAAATTGTCAAGGGTTCCCTCAGTCCTCTACTCCTTATCCTATTAAAGATTTTCTCATGCAAAGAAATAATGCAAAAAAGATAACTACCATAAGAGGTTTCATTTAAGATATAAAATGCAAGTGTCATCACCAAACAACTAAAATTGTTCCGACTCCTTTTCCTGTCAGAATGTATCTTTAATCACTAATTCCCACTGACCAAATTCCATCAGTCTGGGTTTGAAATCCTGGCAAGCAAATACTGCCTTAAAAATAACATCATTTCAGTTTCCTTATCACCAAAACATTTTGTTGTTGTTGAAACACTTAGTGCCGTTAATATGAGCAACAGTTAAAGTGTGAATGGAAAAACATTCTGCATTCTAATGAAATGGAAAACATTCTAACTGTGCCAAAGGTCATATTGGTCATTCCTTCAACAGATACTGACTGGGTGCCTATTACATTCAAATCTTCTATGCTTAAAAAAAAAAAAAATCTGTGTTGGATGAATTTTTTCAGCTGTGCTTTGTTAGCTTTATTTTTCTAAATTCCCATTTCCCTCAGTCTTGGGTGACTGTTAGTCAAATATTCGCTTGCAGCTGAGTATTTTATCTGAAGGATAAGATTATTCATTCTAAGACAATAGGGAGAGAATAGGAGGAAAAAAATGCTAAAGCTAAGTTTTTGTGCTGTTCTTGATCAAATACTTGCTATCTACAAATCTGATTCATCGGGTAAACCATTCCCATTTTAGTTAATTAAACACTCATCATCAGGAAAAACACAGAAGCAAAGTATTCACACTTGTCCTCTGCCTGGCACCCTCCAGAGTTATTTCTGTGTCAAAGCTTTGGCTAAACCTTAAGACTTCTGTGAGTACATTTATGTAGCATTTTATTACACAGCCCGAAATCAGCCTCCTGAACTGATAGTCAATCCTATTAAGAAATGAAGGATGCTAAGAAAGTCTCCTTTGTAAAATGGCATGAAACATGTTACCCCAATATCTGCTGCTTTTGTCTCCTGATGATATGTCTTGTATAATGTTCTAGTCAAGTTCCTGTGCCAAATAGGGCCCTTAGCCCTCAGTGACTTTCGGAATAATTTCTACCATGAGTCTATGAAATGATAGCTTTAGAAAAGCCACTGTAAATCTCAGAGCTCCCACTGTGGCCAGTGACAGCTGATAAATGAAAATGGAGGAAAAGCAAGCAAAGCAATTTGCATGACTCCTGGCCCACCTGTAGGAGGCTAATGGAGGTGCTGCTTGATTATTTTCAAGTTACTTGCCTTGCAAACTGTAGATTTCTCCAACACTGTTCTGACGAGTGATGTGATGCCAGTACGCGCTACGAGGAAGAGATATCGATTTGGATAACGTCATTGGCTCAGTCAAGCTTGTCTGAAGCTAAAAGAAAAAAAAGGAAACGTGTCAGGCTTTATGCAAAACATTACACTGATATTTGTTCTTTCAGAAGTTGAGGGTTGAATGTGAGGGAACCTATGATAGAATCTGTTACAGATGCCCGCCTCATCTGCTAAGGTTAACTTTTTTTTAAAAAAAGGAAAATCATGACTCCAAACATATGGAATGAACACTTGTAGACAATTTAATCTCATTCGTTAATTTAGAAAGAACAAAAAGGTGGTACAACTGATGCCAAGGAGAATTCAAAGGGCATACGGCCAATCAGGAACGCTGGCAAGTAGCCAGAACAATAACCAGTTGTACCCCATCAGACAAGCTTATTTGCATTTCTATGCACAAGAATTATTTGCATTACTATCAGCTTTCTGCAATTTATTGAATTATAAAATAACTCAGATTGGAGATGCAAGCCCTTTCAGAAACAAATACTCCCTAATGGCCCCCAACACTGGATCCCATTAATCCCTTTCACCCATTTCAGTGTCTTACAATTTTTCTGGACATCTCCTCCCACCCTCACCCAATGGATCTTTTCTTGAGTGGACCTTCTCCTGGCTCCTGCAAAAGGATCTTTTAGCTATTAAACACGTGTTTTCCCTGAGAAGCTCTGTGATGAAAGTGTGCCAGATGTTCTTACTTGAAACATAAATTTTAAGGTTAGCTGCAGAGATCAACACAATGTCGCTCAGGTGCTCAAGCATATGATTAGTTCAAGGAGAACAATACTTCATACTGCATTTTCGAGAGAGAAATGTATTTTTATTGATTCACCCCAGGTTTTTAAAAACATCCGGAAGGAGTTTTACTTGGTCTAAGCACACATTTCTCTGATGCAATCTGAGCAAATATTCACTTTCTGACAGGCCATGGGCAATCCTCTAATCAATGAAAGCTCACATTTCCTCCTCTTTTAATCCCTGACTCTTGGCAGAAGTGGGAGCCATGAGGATCATGTCTGTCAAGTCTAACCTTAGAGACCCGTCTGCTCCCTGTGATGTGCCCTTTCCTCGTGCACTGTCCCGCCTCCCACACTTGCCATACTCTGCGTCGTGATAACACCCTTCATGGAAGATGCTGTCAGGTAAGCACCTGATATGTTGGAACAGGCCCGCTGGAGCCATAGGAAGCTAAGAGGTTTTTACATTTTAATGGAACGATGAAGCCAAAGGGTGGGAACATATTTATTTGCTTTCACATTATTAGCAGGGAGACATTTCCAGATCTGCTATGTCTTGTCACAAAAGTGCCCTACTCAGTGAATTTAAAAGTCCGGTCCTGTTGAAGGTATTTTTTCAGAAGATTCCACCAAGTAGCAAACATTGTAAACTAATTTTTATATTTTTTCAAAATTTGATATATATCAAAGTTTTCCTTCTTGTTGTGAAAATAGATGTATTAACCATACCTACATCCCATGGTTGGTAGGTAGGAGGCCTGGGGGAGAAGCCGATTTTCTAGGTTATAATAGGGCAGTGCTTTCCAGAATCCTTGGGGTGTTTGTTAACCATACACACTTCTGGTTTTAGCCCAGACCTAACGGTTGGGAGAATCTCTGTGGGTGGGGCTCTGTCTGCTAAAAGTGTCTGGTACACAGTTTATCCACGACTGTGAGGGATAGGGGTAAGGCTCATTTTACAAAATTATCACTGGGACAAGAGGGCTTTCACCTTGAAAGCCAATTTCTCAGGTGAGGCATAAGCTGAGTTCAACACACAACGTCTTTAGTTAGCATGAGCAATGCCTATTAATAAATATTAATCAACCATATATCAAATCTCGTATGAACCATACTTCTGTCTACCCTTTATTTTTTCCTAATACATTGCTATTTATTAGCATACAGTGAGTCTTTGGTGGTTAATTCTTCTTCCCCAAATTACTTATCCTTCTATTTTTTTTTTAATTCTGGGAAACACATTTCTTCCCAAATGGTCGGTCTTAAGCATCATGGAAACACGTAGATATTTTTTTTTTCTGGAAATAAATAAGTTGGAAATTTCCGCCCTAAAATAATTCACCTGAATCGCCCTCTATTGTTTCTCGGCCTCATGTCCGTATGTCTTGGTCTTCAAGGATTTCAGATTACAGGAGCCCATTAACCTTCTTTGTCTTCCCTTGTGTCTTTAGTTCCCTTTTATTCTACTTCAATACTTAATTTGGAAAAATGAAGTGTCTGTATTTGAAAACATGTCTATAATCTCCCCACCTCTATCCATGGTACAAATCTTGTCCACTCACACCTCAGATGTTTAAATCTTCCTCTACACATCACAGAATCCATTCCTCAGTCATTGTTCAAAACCAGGTATTGAGTATGCTCACGGACCATCAAGCCATTCTGCTTTGTGCCTTTCAATAAAGTTGTGTCACTGGGAGTACCAAATATGCATTACTTTTGTGGAGCACTGAAGATAGCTGCATTCAGACACAGGGTGTTTGGGCTCCCTCCTAAATCTGTGGTGACTGATGACTGCTTTGAGGAATCATGCAATGTAGACATGACATTATGTCTGTTTTGGCCATGTCTCTGATGACCTCTAAGGGTGATTCTCCTTCCCTCCACTGTCCTGAGTTACTGAGGACGCCATGGTTGGAGGAAGCCCAAGCTTACTGTGTGCATGGGTCATGTAATTTGAGATTTGAACTCTTCTTAGAGAGCCCAGCACTTCTCATTGTATGGATGGAAAATCACAACCCCCCAAATTCAGGGATTTGCTCAAGATAAAATCCCAACTGTAGAACCACTAACAGAAATCAGTTCTCTTGATTTCTGAGTTCACTGCTCTTTGGACTTTGAGGTCGATCTCTCTAGGGAAAATGAGCTTCCTCTCCAACTCGTTACAATATGTGAGAATATAGCTCTGTACTTTGAAAGCACTCACCCTGCCAAGAAAAAGCGATAGATCCTGAAAACTGGTGTAATTTTTGTCAAGTTACTGGCCACCAGAGCCTTTTCCTGCTTTTACCAAAATAATTATCCAGGTTACCTTATTACCTTTTGCAATTTTCCTTTGCTGTTTTGAGTCTCTGCTTCCACCTGTGATAAACACTAATGCTAATTTGTGTTCCTCTGTATAAATTCATCTGTATATTAAAAGAAATCCCTGCTAACCAATTAATTTTACTTTTCCTCTATATCTCCCCAATCATTGATTAGACAATTTAAAGTCCTATTAGCACTAAAGACACAAATCTCAATAACTGGGAGAGTTACTGGGAGAGGAAGAAGTTAGCATTGATATATTAGCATTTTATGAGTCATTCTTACATGCCTGGCAATGTGCAAACTGGTTTCATATGTTGTTCCATTTGATATCCATATAAATTATCAATAATTATGCCATCTGAACTTTACAGACAAGGAAAATGAGACCCAGAGGGATAATATAATTTGTTCACAGTGACATTGTGAGTGATGTCTCGGAGGCACTAAAGACTATGATGTTTAAGACAAGGAAAAATTCTATCCCTACCTTTCAAGGTCTTCTAGCAGGACTAAGAATTACATTTACCTAAGACAGACTCACAGGGAAAAATCCCCAAAGTTTTATTATGTGTGTATGGAGGCCCAGTAATGAAATTGAGGCCCAAGGAAATGATGAAGGCAGGATGTTTTTGTACTTTTAGACAAATAGACAATAAATCTATGGGGAACTGCCATGACAAAGAAAACTGAACTTTGGGAGTTTCAGTTAATAAGGATCTCAAAACAGAATTTGGGCTATGGTAGTAAATTAGTAAAAAGTAACAAGAAGTGCCAACACAGCCTTCTCAGCTCTGAATTCCTTGTCTCTGGTGATAAGAATGTCTCACTTTCTCCTGGAACAGGGAGAGTGGCTTTCATGGGGGAGATTTGTTTCCTGCTTTCAGAGGGACAGAGAGGGGACTGACTGTCCTTCTTGCACATGGTGTTTTTTAAATTGCTTTAATTCAAAATAACCAATATGCCAAAGTGGCACATTTTGGGGCAGCCTGCTCTTGGTCCCGACCTTGTCATTTCCTCTTCATCACAGCTAACTGTAAAATAAACTACTGGACTTCTCTTCTTCAGGGAGCAGATAAGGGGAGAATTGCACCAACTGGGTCAGTTCCTTTGGGCCAAGGCAGGAACACACATGATTCTCCCCTCTGTTGAGAGGAGAACACACAGTAGGGGTGGCCCAGCCCTGGAGTCATCACACATGCACGGCTAGGCATCAGCACAACTGTTAGCAAACACCAACTCTATCATTGCTTTGTCATTTGACCTCAGACAATGTCCTTACTTTTTTTTTTTTTAAAGAATCATTTTTTTCCTTATCTCTAAATTGGAATTAATATAATCTACCTTAAGTGTTGTTATAAATATTTCATAAGATGATGCTTTTAAAGTGAAGAGCACTATGTTTGTCCCATCTGAAATGCTCGGTAGAAACTGCCGGCTTACTGTTGCCACATGGGACAGGCGGCTCACACCAGAGGTATCTATGCATACATGTGGTCAAGACCTGGAAATGTGTCCAAACCGAGCCATGGAAGAAATGGCAATGAAGGTGGTCACATTCTTAGATCTAAGTCTAAGAGCTTAATAGAAGTACATAACCCAGGGGCGCCTGGATAGCTCAGTGGTTGAGCATCTGCCTTCAGCTCAGGGCATGATCCCAGGGTAGTGGGATCAAGTCCCACATCAGGTTTCCTTCAGGGAGCCTGCTTCTCCCTCTGCTTGTGTCTCTGCCTCTCTGTGTGTCTCTCATGAATAAATAAAATCTTAAAAAAAATAGAGTATATAAAATCCAATAAATATGAATAGATGGTCAGTATGGGCAGGTGGGACAGGTAGGACACAGGTGGGAGACTAGTGAGCAATGCTCGTAGCAGGGTGTGTGTGTGTGTGTGTGTGTGTGTATGTGTGTGTGTGTTTAGACACACAAATAACATAAGCCAGGAAAGCACAGTCTCAGCTTTTTTGGTACAACAAAGAGTTAAAGAGATGTGAGTGG